AGAGAGAGAGAGAGAGAGAGAGAGAGAGAGAGAGACAGAGACAGAGAGAGAGAGTGAGTGTGTGTCAGTCGTAGGATATAATGCAGTGAATTTCTTTAAATTGCTTGTACACATTGAATTAACCAGCAGGTATGCAATGAATACACTTAAATCCTCCAATATTTCTTGTGAAGTGAAAGCACAGAAAGTGGAAATAGTATAACAACAACCGATAAGCGGTTGCAACTATCCTACTGCACTAATTGAAGAACGACAGATCCGCTTTACTGCTTAAATATCTGTCTTAAATCTATGATATTTGCCAAGAAGGAACGCAATTTTTACAGCTCATACTAGTATTTATATTTAAACAATCCAATCCAGTAAGAAAATAACTCGTATACGGTTTAAAAGAGTATCTTCATGCTTAATTGTAACAAATAATGGCATTCTTTGCACAGGTTAATAAACAAAATTAGAAATTAGAAAATCGATTTCAGCACGTCACCGTATCATTACACTATATTTAAAGACTTTCATGTCCCAAAACAACATAAATTGAAAAAGGGGGTGGGGGTGGGGGTGGTGGTGGGGCTTAGCATGCACAGATTAAACGATATTCATATTATCATAGTACTGTATTATTCAATGTTTAAGGTGAAGCTTTCTGCTAGCAAGGTATTTCCTTCTTAAAGTGATAATAGAGTGATTATGAAATAAATGGATAATTGGAAATGTGTACCTTTAAATTATACAGGAGGCTGACTGCTTTGAATATGTCTATCACGGTTTAGCCGACAAGAGTGAAATGCAGTATTCTAACAGACAAATGCGATTATTTTTTTTCAAATTATTATCTCACTAGGAAATCAAACTCACGTCTTTCTTTTACAGAAGCTGTAACCCTCAGAATCACACCACAAAAGACTGGCCGTTTGAAAGCTTAACAAGAAAACGTATTCCGCGGGAAGAGGGGCGGAGATGGGGCAGGGCTAAGGGAGGATTTGAATTCACCATTCCCGCGACTTTTATAGAATTCGCAATTTCAAGTCGTGCGCGACCGTATTAAAGCACATGACAGTAGGAAACTAATATCGCAAATTCAAAACGTTACAGAAATAAATTTTGCAAAATGTAATAAATATGAATGCACAAGCTCCCCACTGCCGCACCCCTCAGATACCGGTGTACAGTATTGTCCTATATTTTCAGTGCCTGACGACGGAAAGACTTGCGATTGTCCAGACCCGGCAGATTTAGCTTTGCAAGGAAAAACTGTACTTACTACCTGCCCCAAAGTTGTCGAAACAACTACCACTACTACAACTCCTGTGCCAACGACTACAACTACTACAACTCCTGTGCCAACGACTACCACTACTACAACTCCTGAGCCTACAACTACTACTACTACAACTCCTGAGCCTACGACTACTACCACTACAACCCCCGAACCAACGACTACTACCACTACTACAACTCCTGAGCCTACGACTACTACCACTACTACAACTCCTGAGCCGACTACAACTACAACCACTACACTAGAACCAACAACAACAACTACCACACCTGAACCAACAACAACAACAACCACCACACCTGAACCAACAACAACAACAACTGATCCAGGTCGAAATGCTGCACCAACCACAACGACGACTCCTGTACCAACAACCACAACAACAACAACAACAACAACAACAACAACAACAACAACCACACCTGAACCAACAACAACAACCACAACATCTGAACCAGCAACAACAACCACCACACCTGAACCTACAACAACCACCACACCTGAACCAACAACAACAACCACACCTGAACCAACAACAACAACGACACCTGAACCAACAACAACAACCACCACACCTGAACCAACAACAACAACCACCACACCTGGACCAACAACCACACCTGAACCTACAACAACAACTACCACACCTGAACCATCAACAACAACCACAGCTGCATCAACAACAACAACCACACCTGCTTCAACAACTACCACCACACCTGCATCAACATCAACCACCACACCTGCATCAACGTCAACAACCACACCTGCATCAACATCAACCACCACACCTGCATCAACATCAACCACCACACCTGCATCAACATCAACAACAACAGATCCAGGCCGAAATGCTCCACCAACAACAACTACAACTCCGGTTCCAACGACAACTACCACCACCCCTGAATCAACATCAACCACCACCCCTGAATCAACATC